CCGCGTCGCACCCGCGTCTCTTCCCACACACACCTCCCTCTTCCTCTCCTCCTCTTCCTCTCTTCCCCTTCCTCGCCTCCCCCGCGCAACACATGCACGGCACGTACATGAGACACGGGTTCTACATACAGCCGCACGCATGCACACACGCAAAACACATGCGCTCAAGATTCGAGGGCGTGGCAGGCGTGGCAGGCGCACTGCACCATACACCCAAGACGTATGCGCACAGTCGCCCAGCGCATCGAGGGCGTGCCGTACTCTCGACGCCGCAGGGGGTGTTCTGGTGGTGGGGGCGCTATGCGCTCCAGGCTCGCAGGGCGTGGCAGGCGTGGCATTTCCTCGACGCCACAGGGGGTGCGTTGGGGGTGGAGGCGCTATGCGCTGCAGGCTCGCAGGGCGTGGCGGACGTGGCTTTTCCTCGACGCAACACGGGGCGCGCTGGGGGTAGGGGCGCTATGCGCTGCAGGCTCTCAGGGCGTGGCAAGTGCGGCATTTCGTTGACGCCACAGGGGGTGCGCTGGTGGTGGGGGCGTATGCTTTGCAGGTTCGCAGGGCGTGGCAGGCGTGGCATTTCCCCGGCGCCACAGGGGGTGCGCTGGGAGTGGGGGCGCTATGCGTTGTATGCTCGCCGGGCGTGGCAGGCGTGGCATTTTCACGACGCCACACGGGGTGCGCTGGGGGTGGGGGCGTATGCTTTGCAGGTTCGCAGGGCGTGGCAGGCGTGGCATTTTCTCGACGCCACACGGGGTGCGCTGGGGGTGGGGGCGCTATGCGCTGCAGGCTCGCAGGGCGTGGCAGGCGTGGCAATTTCCTCGACGCCACACGGGGTACGCTGGGGGTGGGGGCGCTATGCGCTGCAAGCTCGCAGGGTGTGGCAGGCGTGGCATGTCCTCGACGCCACAGGGGGTGCGTTGGGGGTGGGGGCGCCATGCGTTGCAGGCCCGCAAGGCATTCGAATTGGGCGCTCCAAGCCAATTATCTGGCTTTCTGTCGAAGTGTCCCGTATGTGACACAGCGTGGCAGTCGTGGCACTCACTTCCCAAGATCATTCCACCGCCCCGGCAGCCCTCCACCTCTTCCAAGGTACTTGGTTCGTGCTCCCATGTCGCGAGTGGCGCGGTACTTTTATGACCCTTGGGAGCTGCACGCGGGGTGGGGGTGGAGGGTGCGCGGGCGTGAACTCGTGTCTTATCCAGAATTGTAAACACCTCGGCTCAAGCCGACTCCGCGCTGCCACCTCCATGTCTGGCGATGAAGACTGCAATGGTTCACATGGGCGGCGAGGTCAACGTGGAGACCTCGCGCAGATGCGCCAGCGGAGTGGTGCAGTCCGCTTTGAATGCGTACCGCCACCAGCTTAGCAATTGGTGGCCCCATGCGCTCTACGCGGAGTACTCCGAGATGAAGGACGACGGCAAGAGGCAATGCCTGGTGAAGCACATGCGGAACCTGCGTCGGCCAGAGTCCCCGAAGAGGCTTTTTTAGATCCGGCGGAGGAGAATGCGGATCACGACGGCGGCCCGCCGCAAATGCTCGGCGAGCGCGCGAGGCCAGCAGCGCGGCTGTTGACACAGCGCATGCGTCTATGAAGGCTGCGCCGACGAAGGCCGCGCCAACGAAGGCCCCGCCCATGCAGAATTGCACTCCGCAGCGTTCTCTGGCCGTTCTGCCGGTTCGTTCCTCAGGCACCCCTCGCATTCAGCTTTCTCCAGGGCCCACGGAGGCGGACGACCGCTAGTTGCAAGGATCTTGGTCACGGGGCCTTCGACAGTCGGTCTCTGCGACTTGTTTGCGCGCCCAGGCAGATGAGAAGGCCGTCGAACGGTGCAAGTCGGTTGCACGGGAACGAGCTGACGATCCACAGTGCCGACCGTCCAATGGGGGTGCCGATGCCGACTTGGGATCCACACCCCGTAGGGTTTCAATAGTGCGGGTGGCGTGGTTGGCATTTTACTGACGATGGCTGGACGGCGTCGCAGACCGCCGCCCAGGAGACCTTTCTGGCCGGGCTCGGCGTCGCGCCCCCGCTTGACATCGCAACTCAGATGGCGCCTGGCGCGCTGGGCCCGGAGACGTTCTGTCGACGCGGCCGGCCCGCCAGGCGCCGCCGTCGCCGGCGCGCCGAACGGGCGCGGACCGGCGGCCCCCGAGATTTTCCGTCGAAGGCCGCCCCGGATGCCGCCAGGTTTCCTGGGCCCCGTTCCAATGTTTCAGACGGGCCCGACCGCGAGCGCGATGCGGGACGCAAGCGAACGTGCCTGCCAGCGCCTTCGCTCAGCGAAACAGCGAGCCCGAGGCGGGGGGGGGAGAGGGAGGGGGAGGGGTAGGAGGCGGATGGGGGAGGAAGGAAGGAGGAGAGAGCGAGGAGAAGGGAGGAGGATGAGGAAGGGGAAAGGGAGGAAGAAGAGGGGCGTGGAGTAGGAGGGAGATATTTCACAAGGCCGGAAACTGGGAGATACGTCCAGGGAGATCCCCGGGAGGTGGGGGGGGGGCAGGGGCACAGGAAACGGGAGGAGGAGAAGGCGGAGGAGGAAGGGGAAGAGGAGGGACGGGAAGAATTGCCCGGATCTCGCGGGTGCCGAAGAATGTTTTCCAAGAGTCCAGGCAAAATCCTCACTCCGCCCCCCCCCCCCGCACTTCCCTTCAGCGGCCCCAGGAGGCGCCGGAAAATACAGTGGCGGTGGTGGCGGTAGCGCGCCACGCGCAGGACATAAAACAAGTATGCGGGTTTCCTCGTTAGCGTAATTTTCTTCGCAGCCGCGCCCCGCCCGCGAGGAACGCGCTTCGCCCACTTGGCTCAAGCCGTTTTGGCGCAAGATGCCAATCCAAGTTGCAGAGATGGGGCCCGTTTCCCAGAGTCTTTCTGGAACGGCCCCGCCATGTGCGACCGATGTGATTCGGAAACCTCGCGTGGTGGAAGACTCTGGCAACATATCGCGATCCAAACGGCGCCAGCTTCGCGACAGGATAATTGCAGTACGACATGCAATTAAACATGCGACCTATATCAAGTACCACGTTGCATTTGTTGGCACATTCGTTGGCAACGCAAGCCCGAACCACTAAGTCGAATCGTAACACCCGAACCCAGACACGATAACGCCCCCACTCTAGCACCCTACAACCCTAAGTCTATAATCCTACACTTATATAGCCCTTCCACCCGGCTCTGGCCAGCCCCCGATTGGGTCCAAACCACGACCCCCGCCGCGGTCCCCTGCAAAAAACAGGACACGGTGCACATTGGCTGATCGTAAGATCGTCTCAGCTTGAGCACCATCCACTCGCCATCCCTCGCAAGAAGACACCATTCGGTGCGCAATTGCTGATCTTCACAGCCATCCAGCCCTGACGATCCCTAACATAAAAAATGATGGACATCGGCGAACCTTCACAACGACCCAACAATCACCATCCTATACAACAACGTTCGGTACACATCTGCGGATCTTCACACCCATCCAACGATCACGATCCCCGTGATAAATATCATGTGGGTTACATGGGCTGATCTTCGCAGCACTCTCCCAGACCCAAGCACGCCCCCAGATCGCCAGGAGAAGGCCCCGCTGGGGTCGGAAGGTGCAGGAGATGCAAAACCACGTTGGCACGATAAGAGGAGATATCGATCTTATGAGAAAGGCTTAAGGCGAGAAGGACTGATCCGTGCAAGCTCGTCTGATCCCAACACCCAAACCCGAGCGGCCTAACGCCCTAACGCCCTGACCCCAAGACCCTGACCCTATCATCCTGGCACCCTGACGCCCTGACCCAAACACCTTAAGCCTATGTATGATTATATAACTCTGACGCCCGCCTACGGCCCGTTCCTGGCCGATTCGAACACGACCCCGGGGGCGGCGATCCCTTTTGCGATCCCCTGCAAATAACAACGCGGCGTACATCGGCTGAGGGTCACATCGTATAATATCGTGCACCATCCAATACAACAAACTATATGACGTGCACATTTTCTGATCTTCGGATCTACCGAATCCGTACGTTTCCCAGCTGAAAAATATCATGTGTTGGGCATCTGGAGCTAGGGAGGCCGCGTTGCCAGAGGGGGGAAGGGGGGATTTTCGAATCCAATTGGGGGTCCAACTCTCGCTAGTGAGGCCGCGTTGCCACAGGGGGGAAGGGGGGATTTTCGAATCCAACTGGGGGTCCGGCCCCCCGCTCCTCTGGAGAGGTGGGGACGCGGGGGGGGTGGGGGTCCGGGACGACGGACGGATGGGCGGGGGGAGAGGAGGGCCCCCGGACGACGGGCCGGGAAAAGAGGTCGAGAGCCTTGAGACGGGGGTCAATGCAGACGGGGGTCAGCCAGAGCGCCCGATCTTGCAGGATCCTGCAGGGCCACGGGCCGCATTGACCCAGGCTTGGGTGCAGGATCCTGCAGGATCTTGCAGGATTTTTCGCGATCCCCGAGGGGGGATTCTGAACTCCCTTCCGTCTGCCGTCTGGAGATCCAGTGGAGCACCCTCGTAGATGTGTCTTACGACGTTGAAGCAGAAGTAGAAGCAGGAACAGAACCAGCAGCGGTGCCTGCGAGCAATGTTTTCATGAAGCGTTCGCGCCATCGACCGCGAGGCCCCCGCGCATGCCGAGCGCGCGCGCGCGCGAGCCACACCACCGAGCGCCACGGCCGGAAGAGGAAAAGCAGCAACAAAAGGGCGAGGAGGCGACGGCGGATGTGGTTCCAGCGCGCAGGCAGGCCCAGGATGAGGGTGCACAACGCTGCAGGGCGTGACGACACGCTCTCGCAGCGTCCTGGAGCGCTCTGCAACGGCCGCGGCGCACATCCTCCAGGCCCGCCCGTGCTCACCGAAATTCCGACCCGTGCTCCTCGGGATCCGTCCTCACCCTGCCCCTGTCTCCGGGCAGGAGGAGCGAGCGGAGCCCTCTGGCAGCCCGTGCCCCGAAGCCCAGACGCGGAGGCGTGGCTCGCCAAGCCGCCTCCGCCCCCGGGATGCGCCCTGCAGCTCCCGCGCCGCCAGGCGAGCTCCGCCTCCATGAGCACCAGGGAGGCGGGCGAGGAGCTGAAGAGGGCCGCCGAGAGGCAGAAGAACGCCAGGGAGCGGCTGTGTTGGATGGTCGCGGGCGTGGCGCTCCTGCTGTTTCTGCTGGTGCTGCCGAGCTTGCCCAGGAGGCACCCTGGTTGTTCCTCGTTGTGCTCGGGTCGAGGGCCGTTCGGTCGTGCCAGGAGGATGAGGAGAGGGCGAGAAAGAGGGAAGGAGGGAGGATACGTAAGGGGAGGCTCGAGGATGGAGGATGGAAAAGGCAGGTGCATTCAGGGAAGAATGGGAGGGTGAAAAGGAGCAGGAGGAAGAGGGTTTGTGAAGGAGTCGTTGTCGCGGCTGTCCGGTAGTGAGACGAGTCGCCTCCCGCTCCTTGGGCTCGAGCGGGCTACCGCCGCCAGGACTCTGCGAGATACACATGCGCACCATGAAAATAGCGCGTTTGGGAGTGGGCCTGGCTTCTCCGGCTAGAAAGGCTTGGGCTTTTCCAGCAGTCCGCTTGCCATGAGCAAGGCTCAGGCTCACGGTCGTCTGTAACAGTGTAGCCGCACCACTAGAGTTTCGATGCACATGTATATTGATGGTGGCCAGGCATAACCGCAGTCCCAGCAGCATGCCACAAATACCATCAAGATGAGAAGGAGACCGCACGTCACTCCACATCGAACAGGGACAGTGCCCTCGTGTTACGTAGTCCTGGGCAAGGCCCGATGTCGGTAGGTGTGAGATTGTAGCGCCCAGTGCACAGTGAGTCTTCGTTCTGCGTGTTCTGTGTACCTCCATCAGGTGCGATGCACGTGCGGTGGCCACATAGGTAGGATACAAGTGCACTGGTCACATGTTGTCCACCTTTGAACAACGAAGGCAACGCTCGTGACCAGTCGATGTCTCTGTCGTGCATTTCATCTCTCCTGGGATCGCGCCTCGCCCGTTAGCTAGACGGAGTCGGTCGAATTCTTGTCGTGTGGTCAGACCTAGACAACAAGCGATTGGAATGAAGCTGCGGAGTGCATTACCTCCTAGGGTTCCTGACCGATGCCATCCTTTGTGATCCACTACGTCACCTGGGGTCTCACGATTGAGTTGGGCTCATCACGATACTTGACAAGCACAGTCCTACGTGCGCTGGCCTGCGCCTACTCGTGAAATGGATAATGACATCCAGAAGTAGTGCCCGCAGGACATTGAAGCGACGGTGGCCGTTTTTGCGGAGGCTGGTTCGAATTCTCGAGCTTCCTGCCCAACACCAGCGAGCACACCCAACGCTCTCAGGATAACGAGTTCGATTACATGGCCTCAGAGGATGGAGGCGAGCGATCAATGCCGATTTGGTAACCAGTGAACAGTGCGCGACTTCGTCCCGATTGCACTTTCGGGAGCGTGACGAGTGTTTGGATTTGTTTCCATATGAATGGTCGCGTGGTTCTTGCCCCCATGGGTAGGCCTGTCACAGGCATTCTGGAACGTTATGCGCGCGGGAGCGCAAAAACATAGATACTCGGAGTATCGAATGTGGTTTACCGAACTTTCCGGCCGCGGCGAGGTGTAGGAAACAAACAAATCGCGATGCCAGCGCGTGGACCCCAAACAGTCAACGCGTGTGAACATATTAGGTGTGATTTTATCCGATGGGACCTTATTGGGTAGGACGCTACAGGGAGACTCTGAAAGGCCCCTCTGGAGTGGGAGCGTTCGTATCGTGTGGGGCTTTATGGAGTGGGACCCTGTCGAGGGAGATCCTATCCCCATCGGGTGGGAGCCCATCGGGTGGGATCTTATCGAGTGAGGCCTCATCAGGTTTGAGACCCTATCTGGCTGGACCATGCCAGGTGGAATCGTATCGGGTAGAACCGGATTGTGTGGGCCTCTATCGCAGGGAAGCCAAGAGGGTGCTTAACCCCGTGCAGCACCAGCGCATCGCCGGGAACACCCAGATCCCAGAAATTTGGCCACGGATGTCAAATTCGTGAGAGGACATGCGGTGAACCTCCAATTGCGAGGAGACGAAGACGAGGAGGAGGAGGATGAGTAGGGCGAGAATAATGAGGAGAGGAGGGATATGAGATGGGGAGTGGGTGGCGAAGTGAGGGTGAGTTTCTTCCCCTTCACCCCTGATGGGGGAAGGACGGGCCTGGAAAGAGTCGCAGGAAGGGATGACAGGGAGGGCGAGAAGGATGGTCAGGCTTTAAGTCAGCATGCCGCTACACACTCCTTCAGCCGCCCTTTCGATATCCAGTGCGTTTTTGCAGGTCGTATGGATGTCACCAGGGCATAGAGCGTGTAGACAGTTGGGGGAGAAGGGACACAACCCGAGCTGTCGGCCGTTGGTTGTGCAGCCCACCTGTACTAGCGAAAGGGTCGGCGATACCACACGTGGCATACATCTCGGGCACAGGGAAGCCCTGGACGTGCGCCCCGCTCTGCTTCTGCATCGGCTCCGCTCTGAGGGCCCCCTCGTCCCCCTGCAGGCGAGGAGTTCAGGTGTGCTCGACGTGCGACCGTGGATGGGGCGCGCCCCTGACATTCGCAGTGGACTCCGGACGTCTCGACACATTTCCCGGGCCAGTTTCTGCATCCGCGCCGTTTTCTGACGGCCCTTGGGCCCGGCGTGGGCCCCCAGAGGCCGACAATGGGGACGCCCCCCCCCCGTGGAGGGGAAAGATGGTTCTATTTAGCGACGTGCGTGTCTTGCGTTTCTTGCGCTTTCTGGAGCCATAGCGACGGAAATGACGATGATGTTGTTGTTGATGATGATGATGATGATGATGATGATGATGATGATGATGATGATGATGATGATGATGGTGGAGATGCGTGTTTTGATGACAAGATATGATCGCAGTCGCTGGGTGAATCAAAGCAAGTAAAGTACATGTGTTACACAGGGTCAAGCTGTTGGTGCCGACGCTGGTCGCATTCGTCGGCAGGCTGGTCAGATCTACCGAAACGCCTGCCTCTACTGAGTGGCGCATAAGAGGTTTGAACCTGGACGGCGTTTCTGCGGTGAGGAACTCGGCAAATTTGGCCAGCATGTCGTGTTCTTCCCATGTGATCGTCATGTCGCTGTGGTATTTTGTCACACATCCAACGAAGAGCTTTGCCAACCGTGCTGCAGCAGCGACGCATAAGGCATGCCGTTGAGTCTGGCAAGTTTCATTCCCATATAATGTTTGTTTAACTGTTTGTGGAACGCTTCATTCCAAGTTGTGCCAAACATGATTTCGATCGTGAGGTTGTTAGCACCGTACTTCTAGACATTCAGAAGTTACCCCCAATTGCTGCACAGTCGTAGCGAGCTCAACGCTGCTGAGCACAGTTGCTTCCTTGCCTGTGCTTCGTCTCGTCGCACCTGGATGCGCTGCGCAAGTGGCAACCACATCATTTACGACATGTGGCATGGAATCGTACGGCTTCGTGACATAGCTATTGCTGTGGATGCGCTTGTAGGGGCGGCGTGCGACTGACTCGCTCATATCTGCCATTTTCGCGGGAAGTTCAGACGGCCCGTTGAGGCCACGGTGTTCGAACAAAACGCCAGAGTTGTGTTTTTCTTGTGTTGCCTGTTCGAAGTTGAATCCAGTGTGTGTGTGTGGCAAGTCTTTGCTGACACATTTGACATTCGAAAATGCTGTTCGCAATCGCGCACATCGGTCCAGCGTCGCGGGGCAGCCCGCACACACCATCTCCAGCATCCCCCCCGCGAACTGCACCCTGAAGAGCACGCACCTGATGCACTGGGCCCTCCGAGCTGGCACTGTGGATATTCACTATGCTGTCGAGGCATTGGACGGTGATGAGCACTCGCAATTGATCGCAGCTGTGCTCTGCCGCGGCGTCTCGCTTCTGCCCGTGAGGCTTTGCCGCAGCACGGACATCAAGTATGTGCAGACACCATCTACGCCCAAGACTCGAACGTCACATTCTGTGCGGCATCGATCTACAGCGCGCCGCATACAACAGTGCCCCGCAATCTTCCCGTTCATGGTGTGAGGAAGTGGTTTGTCCAATGTCGTGATCAACAACGATTGGTGCCCTGATTGAACGGTGAGATACGCAGTGGCCCGCTCGGTTGCCCCTTCGTCGTCGGATGCGCATCGGCGGCGGGGCAAGCCTTCAAAGAGCGTCTGTGCAGCAAAACTTGTCGGACACCTGATGATGGCGCAGTCGGCTGTCAGAATGTACCTCGCGCGCGCCAGGTCCAATGGCCGCGTAACCCCTCTGTCCAAACGCTGGCCTTTACGCGTCAACTGGGTTCTCATCTGTTCTCGCGATGGGCTCTTCTCCGATTGAGACCATATACCGACTGCGCAGCGGTTCACCAAATTCCCCGCGGAGATATTCCCATTGCGGCCGCGCAGCTCCTTAAAACGGGCATTGACTACAATCTGGTTCATCGACCGCAAACCCAGTTTTCGACTTCGTTGCAGAGTTGTCGCAGCCGTCGTTGACATGTGACCTGCTCGTATGATTGAGCAACAAACGGTCCCCATTGAATTCTCGGGCAAAGCACGTGGGGCATTTCCACTGATGCGCCGAGCCGAATTTCTGATGGTCCTCCACGCAGGGACAGATTCCCTGCCAACGAATCACCTCCTTGCGCGCTGCCGACTCCGAGCCCGCGGGCCGCCGACTCGCCCTTCCACTTGCTCGGCGGGTCTTGGCGCGCTTCTGCAGGACAATGGGCCCCGTTGCCGCGGGCCTCTTCGCGGCGGCGCTTGCGCCGCGCAGGGGGGGTCATCTGGCCCGCCCAGCTCGCCGACGTTGTCGATTGCGTCGCCGACGCCCTCAGGGCCGCAAGGGGAGCTCCTGAAACCAGCGACCGCGAAGACCTTCTGCATCCCAGACTCTGCGGCCACAAGTATCTGCTCAGCATTCGCCAATGCGTGCAGGTCTGGCCCGCCGTCGCGGGGACTGGCGACGGCGCAGTCGCCGACGCGCAACCCGCGAGCGCGCCCGGTTCCCGAGGAGGCAACTACTGGGAGATGCTCGCTGGCATCGTTGAGTAAGGTTCCATTCGAAGCGCGCAGAAAGGCGGCGAGTGCGCAGGGGCTTTGGAATGCCGCGCATGTGGTTTTCGAAGACGCAACGGCCAAGGACACGGGGCGAAACTTGAGAGCGCAAGGGCCCCCAC